GTTTTTATGTCATCTTTTAATATTTATCACAGAGGTTCAAGTGGGTGTGAATGGGAATATTTCTTGCAAAGTTTTTTGCCTGAGTATTATTGTGTTGAACCATAAAGTTTATTTACGTCCTAACCTTTAATTAACAGCGACAGAGAAACAGAAGCACCTTGGAGCCAGGTTTAACAGATCAGGGATGGACATGAATCGTGCATCATTAACATTACCAAAGAAAGTCAAGCAGCCATCCCCAGATACAATCAGTTTGATTGACAGTGCAGGTTCAATGGATTCCTTAAACACTGGCTTGATGGGATCAAAACAACTTTCTAGTTCACTTTTGAACATTAATGAGACTGGAGGTGTGTTATGTTAGGCCATATTAGGTAGAGTGGTACTCTGGAATTTTTGTTTTTGATGGGGAGGGGTGGGAACTGTATTGTGCTACTGGTACTCAGACTGACCTCTTATTATTTTGATAATGATAATGATAAATTTATATAGTGCATTCTCCGTGGGAATATGCTCTAATGTGCTTTAGAGTACTTTTTAGGGGACTTTGGCCAGACTGAATTGAGCACTTTACAACTTTTTGAAAGGGAATTTTGTATGTGCCCCCAAAATGATATAAACAAATTTTAAAGCACAAAAAAATCCATAACACTTCTCAGAATTTCCATTGTCAGAAACTTTATTGCAAAGTTTACCTTCGCGAGAGATATGCTCAGAAGACGGATAGCTCTATAAATGTCAAAGTTTTTAACATTTAAGTTGGTAAATAAGCATCTATTAAATTCATAACTGTTTTCCCATTAAACTATACCCAATTCTTGACCAAATAGCTCAAAGGTCATTCTATCATTGCCAACTCTTTTTATTTACATAAAGTACCTCTTTTTATTTGCCTCTAGAGTTTTCAGAACTGAAGAAAAGCAGCAGTATTTCATCTTTAGATAGTGCTTTTACTGAAGCAGTAAGTACTCATGAGAGATATAAAACAGGTTTTCTGTTTATTATTTCTCCTGTCATTTTTATCATTTTTACTCCTAAGATTGCTATTTGGCACAATTGTCAGAACAAATTCCTGCAAAATTCAGTTTCTATCTTCTTGTTTTCATTCAATACCTTATTACAGTGTTGACAGACTCCCTAGACTTTACCTGATACTGAGCAGCCACTTTTGATATTACAGCTCACATTTTCCCCTTTGAGATTATAAGGAGAAAGTGAAACTAACTGCAAGTAGCCTTCCAGATTTGTCATGACAAAATGAAATGCAAGGAGACCATACAATCTGCAGTCAAATGTGACTGTGAATTTATACCCCACCCCATTACCCCCTTTCCCCCCCCCCCCAAAAAAAAAAAAAGAAAGAAAAAAGAAACGAGAGCCTGGTGTTTGCAATTGAAATTTTTAAGCGTCAAGCCCTTTTTTCTCTTTTTTTTAATCTCTTCCTGGTGCTGTGATAGAGTTCTGCAGCTTTTATCTTTTTTATTTTATAACACTGATGTTAAAAATTGAAGGTTATCATTTATTTGATAAAAGATATTTTGATAGTTTTAACACAATAGTGATGATTTATTCTTATGATAGTGCTAACCAGCTGCTAATTCCTTATAATAAAAAAAAAAACAGTACATTGTGGGGCTTAATCCAGAAAAGGCCAGAAAAGATGCCAAGAGCAAACGAGAGAAAGGAAAGAGAAAAAAATCCCAATCCAGAGACAGCAAGTCTAGAATTCTTAGTTCTATCAGTGAGTATAGAAGAGAAACTAATCATTAATTAAAAGTTTCTGGTGGAATTTTTAGTTTATAATTTGATGTTAACGGAAGCAATTTTGAGTCATCTTAATTGCATAGCAAGCTTTATAACTAACTATAACTAGGCGTTAATATAAGGTGAATTTAATTACTCTAATCTAATGTATACTTTCTTTTTATTTTTTATCTTTTTATGTCATTCAAAATGTCTTGATTGATTCCCAAAATTTTTTTTTTTTGGTCAGCTTTTCCTGTGACAAACCTAACTCTGAGATGCCATTTGAAAGAACAAGCCAGGGTCTTCAGTAGCATGACTTGGGTTATGAACTTTTTGGGATTGGGGTTGAGAAAAACAAACTTTACAGCTTATATTTCATTCATATCAGGTGTGAAAGACACAACACTTCATCTGTTTCTTTCCCTCTTTTTCTGTTCTGTAGGGTTCTGATCAGACAATGTCCGACGATCTTCATGGCTCAAATTCAACTCTTAACAGAAAAGGATTGTTTGGTAAATGGCGCTCCAGATACAACAGCAAAAGTGTTGGAAGACCCTCGCCAAAAATGAGCCCTGTGTCCATGCCCGCTAGAAACTGTTCGACTCCCATATGACATTAATACCCAATTTCCCATTCACTCATCACCCTCATTCATTTTTTATAGATCTTGATACTTTATCCAGGGAAATATATCACTAGAATAGTGAAAGGTGTCCATTTGCCAGAGATGGCACAGTCTGTGGTAAATGACAGATCAGAAGTCTTAACTATCCCTTGCCTGAAAATTACTATTTTAGAGGAAGGAAATTCATATAAACTTGCTATATTTTCATAACTTATTTGGTATAGCTCATTATTCAATGAAATGTCTGTTAGAACAGTACGATAGAGAATCCTATACTGTCAAACTCAGAAAACTGTGAACACTGGAAATACTGCTGGATTGTTGTGGCGAAAGGGAAAGAAGACAGTCAGGCCCAAAGCAGTTAAACTGTATGTGTCTTGCAACAGAAATAAGTGTGTGGTTTGGCAATTTGCTGGTGAGTCCAGATATCAAAGATCAACAGGGTACCCAAAATCTAGCCTGTGTACAGACCATTACTATAATTATACTAGCACTTCAGCATCAGTGTCTCTTTACCCATGGAAAAGTAGGAAAGCTTGAGCAACATAAGCTAGCAAGAGGTCTGCAAGAGCTGTAGTAATGATAGTGCCAGACTTACAGCAAACCTCTCCATGACTCATCTTATCTTTCCGTGGGGAGAGAAACCTGCATCCTGTTGTGAACTATTGACTGCCTGCCCACAGGCTACCCAAATACTCAAATAGGCAGGGTAGGTCTTTTGTGGTTTTCTAAGTTTGACAGTTAATGAAGTGATCATGTCAGAATATTTGATCATCCACTCTGGCTGGTTGTAGTCTTAAAATTGAATGTTGGTGGTGAATATTGTTCCATTAACATGAAAAGAAGTATTCGAAAATAAGAAAGACAAGTCAACAGTGGCAGATCTGTTAAGGAGTAATTTCAACTAGAGACTCCAGTGATAATTTTCAAACTTTGGTTACTCCAAGATGTATTCATTTAATTTCTTTAGTCTAAAAAGTCAACAAAGGCTGCAAAGGAGACTAAATAAATATTACCCCTTAAAAAAAAACAACAACAACAAACAAAACAAGGAAATATTATTGAAAGCAAAATGCCTAACATTCATGCTGTGGTGTTACCAGTAAGCATTGATATTGTCTGCTTATTATGATCTTATTCAGCTGTCATCGTACATTCTTACAGATATGACTCCACTCATTTAAGATATTTTTACGTGATTAGAAGTAATAAGACAAATTTGTTCTACAGCAAAGGAAAATCACCCTAGAGTTACAGTGTTAAAACAGTGGCAGTGATCGGTTAGATGACAATGCAAAAAGTGGAGTGTTGTGAATTTATTAAGAACATAGTTATCCTTTAATTAAAAATTCACAGCAAATTTATGTACGTAATAATTGACCCTTTCAGTCCCAAGATCTCAATAATTCTGCTTCATGTCTGTCAAACATTGCTAATAATTTTTGCTCTAAGAATTTGGGGTAAAATTAAATAATTATCTTGTTGATATTTTTCTTTATTCTCAACATCTGTCTGCTTAATACTGTATCAGTATTAAGGAATTAAGTCTTTGTTACTCTTGGGAGTGAGACGGTTAGTATGCTTTTCAATTTTTGTAGGTTTTCTCTAATTACAGACTGGGAATCCTTGGTGAAGGGAGAAATATGGGCATTTTTTTTTCATTTTCTGAACCTATTAACTACTATAGGTGTTAAACCTGACATTAATTTGAGTTCTCAGTTTGTAAACTCTCACAATAGGTCACAATAGATTGTAGAGAGGATTATATATTGAAAATTTTTGGTTGTCAAGAGCAATCTATTTTTGCATAGATGTACTATTTTGAGTGTGTACATAATTGAATAAGGATTACTCTGATTCTCTTTATAATTATAATATCAGGACAAGGCCTATTGAAAGTATAATAATTTGCTTGTTCTATTTTAGTTTGAGGAGTAAATTAGGGTCACGAACTCATTAAATGTTTTTAAACTACACCATGTTGTTGTAGATATATGTCATAGTAACTGAGTTTAAAGTCCATAGTGTAAATTACAAACCAAGTTTTTTTCCACTTGCCCTGTGGTTGAAACAAAAAAAGCCAAATGCGAGTGGAAAAAATGAGGTTTTCTAACCCAAGTACTGATCAAGAAGAGATCAGGTATTTATTATATCTCTGGGTTCAAATAGAGAGGGAAGATTGCAAATAAACTTTTAAATTTAGCTGGCTGCACAGTGAAATATGGCCTGCCAAATTGACCCTATAAACCAAATGTGTTAATGAGGTGAGTTCAGCTCCTTATCACAACCTAAGTTCCATTACCAGCTGCCATAAAGGAAACAAGTTTACACCCCCCTTCCCTAACCCCTTCCCCTCTCCCTTTCTTGAGTGTGTGCGTGCGTGCGTGTGTGTGTGTGTGGGGGGGGGGGGGTTGAAGGCTGGAATTGATAGAGGGGGTCAAGTCTTCCAATAGCTTGATAATTTTTTCTGCTTAATTTAAATTTTGGAACTCTTACCGGTAACCCTCTAATCCCTAGAAGTGATTAAGTTGTAACTTCTCCTTGAAATGCCACCAAGTTCTCTTGTAAACAGGTTATAAGAACCAACAAGCTTATAAGCTAAAGAGTATCAGCAGTATTTGAAATAAGACCAAATTCTCTTGTCTAAGTTACAAGGAAAAGTATAGCATTAAGTAATGAGAAACACTAACTGGATCTTGGAAGTTGTTGGGTCATTAACATAGAGAGTATCTGAGCCTCCAATTAGTGAGACAATATTCTACAATGACAGTTTTTTTAATTCATACTTTTAAAAAATGCAACATTGATACTAAAAAAACTAATTCAAAAGATATTAAAATGTATATATTACATGAATTACTAAATGCTTGATGAAATGGTGTCTAAATGTGAAGCTGGAAATAGAACTTAGCTAGACAGTGGAAAATTGTCTTCTCTTGTTCATGCTTTTCAACCCATATGCCTTATGTCATTTTCCAAAGAATAAATCTTAGCTTTAAGATTGTGAAGTTCACCAACAAGTTTCTTTGATCGTCCTGCTGTTTTTCGCACATTTTTAAGTACTTGTTCATCGTAATCATCTCCCATGGAAACTGTAACCTAGAGATGAACAGACCAAAATGGTTTAATGTTAACAACAGAACTCAAGTCTAAGGCACAGGTCCAATTGTTTCGAGGCTGATTAGCACTAACACAGGGTTAAATTTGAATCCAGATTTCTGTATTTCTCTGTTCAAGAGCCTTTTTGGGAAAATTTTCCCAGTTCTGTTTGGAACATCCAATCTCCAAATTGCAGACAAAAAGATTTAAAATGAATTTTCTTTTAAAGCCTTCAGACTTGGAATAAAATTTCACACCAACCCTGGGTGAGCTTAGCCCAGCTTTTGAAAAACCGTCCCAGGTTGTTAAGTTGCATGATCTAGCATATGATAAGCTGAGCTATGCTATGATTAGTTAATACTTATGATCTATTGGAGGAAAGACACATAAATGACAACACCATTATCATATTAACCCTTTAGCTCCCATGGGTGACCAAGACAGAATTTCTCCTTACAATACCAATACAATATCAACCAGATAAGTGATGAGAGTAAAGAAAAATATCAATTTGGGGAAAATTAGTTGATCTAATACTAAATTCTCCAAAGTAACATTATAAGAATTGTATGGTTGACAGTAGGGAGAATAAGAAATTTGATCTTAGAGTCAAAGGGTTAATTATATAGATTCTATGTTGCCATGGGTCTGTTCAGTAATAGAGCACAGCTGGTATCAAAATGTGGTAAGAAGTCAGAGATACACTTGACTACTCCTCACATGCCTATTTTTGTTTTTAACACATTTTGGCATTTTAAAAAGCAAGATTTCCAGCAATGTCCAATCACACTTTACAATGTATGGTAAAACATTTTTTCTTACCTTATAAAGCTGCTTCTCAACATTCTTCAGCTTGTCTCTTAGCATTTTAATATCAGTTTTGAACCCTTCAACTTCCATGGCTCTTCTTTTCTCAAGGTTTTCATATCTGGAATTCATCAATGCCAATCTCTTGCTCATCTTCTCAGAGCGCTCCTTGAAAATGTCTTCACTAACATCAGTCTTCTCTCGTATTCTTGCCAACTCATCTTCAAGGCCTATACATTGCTCCCTATACATTTCTGCAAGTTTCTGCGTCTGTTCAAGTTGATGTCTTAGTGACTGGACTGCAACCAATTGCGCTTGACGTGGCTCCATTACCTCTCCTGATACTTCTAACACACTAACACCACTCACATCAAGTTGTTCTCTCAGGTGGTCAATCTCCTGAGCTAATCTGTCTCTATCAACCATCCAGTGTCTCTCCTTGGCTCTTATTTCATATTTCAGCTCTAGGAAATCCTTAGTACTATCATAAAGAAGATCCTGTGTTTTCCGCAACTTTTCCTGCATTGTTTTGATTTTGTCTGAATCTCTCTCCCTCTGTGCCTGTTGTTCTTCCATATGTACTCGGCGATCTTCTAACAAGGCATCCACCTGTTCTTTTGCTAGCTTTGTCTGTTCCTCAAGTTGAGCCTGCAAGGATTCTATTTGAAGCAAAAGGGTCTGGTTTTCATCAGCTTCAGCGGTACTTCTGGCTGGACGATAATTTCCAGTGGAGTCTAAAATAAGACAGCCAAATGAATAACCAAATATATCAACAAGTGATCCTGATCCAAATTCTCCCATGACAATTCTTGAGGGAATTCTCTTTTTTTTTCTCCTAAGAGTGGCTTGTGATGATGGGAAAGACTACTTTGACCCAAAAATGAACCTTTCCAGAAGAAAAGCCTTCAATTTACTTAGAAAAGATCTAAGGGAGAATCACCATCCTCTCCCCAAAATTTCTCGGATGATTCAAGAGGGCCATACAAATCTTAAACATATGGTAGCAAGAAGCGTTGTAGAAAGTGACAGACTACGAGTAACCTTCTTTCATTGAAATCTCTACAACAGAAATGGATTAGATAAGGAAATATCTCATTATTACCTCTTTTATGTCCCCCGGGGCCACGTCCAGGGAGTGGCCTTCTCCCGCTCTCTTTGTCTCTCGGTTTATGTTGCGCGACAATAGCCTTCGCTGGTGGCTGGTGATGAAAGTAAGTAATTTCAGGTACAGTCGCCTTTGACAGGCTCAATAAATGCTGTATCTTTTTGCGATCTTCGAGTTCGCGAATTTTCAGGCGGTCGTTTTCGGCGTACAACCGTAAGACATGTTCTCTTTCTTGGAATAAGTAAACTTGCATGTCGCTAAGCGCCTTTTGCAACTCGGCTATCTCTTCTTCACGTTGTCGTAGTTCCCACTGCGTCTTATGCTACGGAAATTTAAAAAAAAATCTAGGTCGGCGTCCATCGATATATTGATTAAGATTAGTGATCTCTTTGCCTCAACAACAACACAACTTCATTTTACCTGTTCTTCATACGTGCACTTATACAGTTCCAGTTTCCTCACCATCTCTTCATATTCACCATCATATTCTGCAATTTTTCTTCTGTAGTATTCTAGTAGCTCTCTGGAAGGCTTTAGATGCCCCAACCTTTCGTTTACCGTTGGCAAAGGAGATTCCCGTCGCTTGTTAGTTTCCGGTGAGTTGGTCGCCATTTTAAAACTGGCGGAAAACGAACTTTCGAGTGGAAAACCGCTGATTTTGACTATGACGGGCGCGAAAATGAAAAGAAAATTCATGAAAAACAAAAAAAAAAAAGCGAAAAAACAGGAAATACTGAGAAAATGAAACTGTTGATGAAAAGAGATGTTGTCTGGCTTGAAGGCAAACACCATGGAAAGCCTTCAGGAAAGGTAATAATTTCTAGTTGTTCTCAATTTAGTAGCTTTGTACCACATCGAACACAGCTGCCTCCTCCACTTTCCTCTAAACAACAGGAGCCCTGTAAACGGCTATTTCCGGTATGGGTGCTTCCGCGCTGAGTAAGGCGTTTAAAGATCCTTTGAAAGTCAAATAGAAGAGAAAGAAAAATAAAAACAGAAAGAAGAATAGAGAAGAGAAAAAGAACAAAAAATTGTGAAGAAAAATAAACTGAATATTATTTAGATGAAAAAATTGTGAAGAGTTATGATAGTAAATTAAAACAGGAACAAGACGCTCTCTTATGCGCTGGCTGTGATGATGATAGACAGAACCTTGAGAACTTTTCGTCCAGAGTCACGTTTGTCATACGAGTTACAAGAACTTGTCCAATATTCAGAAATGAGGTCAGTGAATCTAGTAAAATTCTACGTTGTTGAGCAAGAGTGGGAAAGTTTAGTTAAGTTTTAGACTTGTTTGTTAATTAGGCTGAGAACTACAGTTGGCGTGCATTTCCGAAACTCGTCATTTATGAATATCTAATTGTTTGATCTGTACACCACTCGAGTACTAATTATTATTATTATTATTATTATTATTATTATTATTATTACTATTATTATCATTATTATAACTTCAATCACAGTCAGTTGGCTGGTGTTCTTTTTATCATTATTGTTTTTATTATTATTAATATTATTATTATTATTATTATTATTATTATTATTATTCCTATTATCATCATCATCATCATTATCATTATCATCATTATCATTATTATTCCCGTGATCAAATCGAGCATAAACTGACCTGAAACTTGTGGCAACATGAATCACGTGAAATTAGTATTCAAGTTATATCATTGACAGGAAACGTGCGTTTTCACAGGGAGGTCACGAAAATTACCCTTCTCCTTGATTAACAGAAACGTTAAACCACAGCCGATTAATAAAATTCCCATATGGCTTTAGTTGTGTCTATAGAAAATATTCCTGTTACATAAATGTTTTGTTTACTAACGTTAATTTGAGTTTTTTATGTGTCGGATCCCGTTCCATTTCAACGGAACTCAACGTCATAAAAAACCACAGAGCCAATCACAACTAGGAAAGTTGGTCATGTGACTTTTATTATATAAAGACACAGTAGCCGTCAGTCAGATGAGATGATTAGTCGATTTTAAAAATGGCGTTGGTTTGTAAGAAATGTGAGTCCTTTGTTTTGAAATGGCTGGTCCTGTCCTGACTCAACAACAGCCATGGAGGAAGAAGGGGAAGAGTTCGTTTTCACTCCACCTCCAGAGGCCCCAGTTTTCGAACCAACTGAAGAGGAATTCCAGGACCCTTTGGCGTATATTGCAAAGATAAGGCCTTACGCGGAGAGAACTGGCATCTGCAAAGTCCGGCCTCCCCCGGTTAGAAATATTCTTTTTTCGATTACCAAGTTTTATTTATCTCAGGTGAAGGCATTATTTCGGGAAAGAGAGGACTTAAAACAAATTTCAATGTTTAATTGTAGGAATGGCAGCCTCCGTTTTCAGTAGATGTGGAAACTTTTAGATTTACGCCGAGGGTTCAGCGTCTCAATGAACTTGAGGTAACACATAGTTGTTCGTCTTTTTCAAGAAATCCATTGGATATTATTTGTAACAAAACGTTTTATTTAACTCATAACGACCCATAAAGTAGCCTCTATTCTTCATTTGTACATTCTGCTCCATCTGAAAAAGTTGATGCACGTTCTTTTCTTTGATGAAGATCGGAGTTTTATCAATAATCTTATACTATAGGCTGTAATCAACCATGTGTCCCTCCCATCACAATTTTCTTTTTTTTCCCAAACCGATCATCGTTTATAGCTGATACTTTGTTTATATAGGCGAGAACAAGGGTGAAACTAAACTTTTTGGATAGCCTCGCGAAATTCTGGGAACTTCAGGTAAATATACATCACGAGTTACCCATCTTGTATATGAGAAATTCATAACTTTGAAACCTTAAGATCGATGGCAGCCATGTTTACAACTCATCTCTTATTCTTAACAAATTTTCAGCGCTCTAACTGGTTCCTCCATTTTAATGATTCGTTTTGTAGGGCACAACTTTTAAGATACCAACGGTTGAAAGGAAAAGTTTGGATCTCTTTCGTCTTCATAAGGTAAATAAACTAGGGGAGATATTTCGTTACGAAGTCTTTGATGAACCAGTTGCTGTGTAAGCAACGTGGAGCCTTAATTATTACATCTCCTTAAAAGTTTAGATCACTCAAGCACCGCTCGGCTTGTTCCAGGAAGTTTGTACCCTTCATGACCAGGAAAGACGATCTCAGCGATAATTCGTTAAATGGGGGTATAGACTTCTTGGTCTCCTTTGCCTTAGTAAATCTTTCATAATTTCCAGTCTTCTTATCAAATTTCTTTGTTTCATCACGAAACGCAAGATAGCGATCCCTTTGGTAGCCATGTTTTAAAGCCAGGTACCAACTACGGAAGGGTGTGTTCTACAACACTTCTCAGAAAATTTCAAGCATTTCTGCTTAAAATCATGACCATATGTTGATAATTTCTAGTTGGCCATATTGTTCCTTCATCACAAGGAAATATTTGGTTTTAGTGAAATGTTTTCAGCTTGTTTACGTATTTAGGATGACATAACATTTGTCATCAGTGAATATTCGTTGAAGGGGATTAAGCAGAGTTTGTAGCATGTTGGTCAGGCAATCAGAGTTTTAAAGAGATCCATTTTCAGTTGGGTTGAGACTGGAAGAAAGGAAGTTATCATACCAAACAACAACTGGAAACTAAAAGCATTGTTAATGACAAATGCATAGTTTTTTGCTATAAATTCTCATCCAGCTCTTTCAATTATATCACAATTATAGAAATCACTTTGTGTTAAAACCATTTATGGAATGTTAGGTAATTCTAATGCAGTTTTGAAATGTTCTTGATCAAGAAACTCACTGATTCCTATCAGTCAAAGGGAAATCTTTGCACCTTTGCCAACTCCTTGTTTAACTGTTTTTGTGTGACACTGTCTTCAAAACCTGAAACCATGCCTTGGTCTAAGAGTGCTTCTTTTTGTTAAGTGTGTCAATGAGCTAACTGTTTTGATCAACATCCTATGGTTGTGTTTTAATATAATTGCTTTGCTGCATGTGAGGATGATAGGTAATATTTTTATACAAATTATGCTGAAAGATTCGAAATGACCAAAATGGAAATGTCTTGGATTTTGATGGAAAATTTCTTGTGATATTACTATGTCTGCTTTCTCTTGTTTAGCAAACATTTTTAATCACTTAAGGAGTGTTTGCTATATTATTTGGTGTGAATCAAATTGTTTGGTACAATGGAAAGTGTATCAACAGTCACCTTATCTGTTATTCATTTTGTCCAGAAATCAAATGTTTAGATGTATTTTATTGACCCAAACACTTTGATCAAATCAACTTTGTTTTAGCTATTATTTAAACACAAATGTTGTTGTCAGAACTGATGTTTAGACTGGTCTTATAAGCAGGTTATTTCCTGGTTAGTAATGGTTATACAAGTGGCTAGAATTGAATATGCTCTGGGTTGACCATTTGTTGCCTGTGATCATACCATGGGATGTGTTTAGATAATGTACTGAATCATTATCGAAAATGTATTCAAACATGTGAACATTTTCAGAATATAGTTTCTTTTGTATTATCTATACATGCAGTGGAAAAATCTGAAGCAAGTTCTGATAGACTGCTAAATTCTCCACTCAAATTACCTTGGTTTGCCTTGTGATACACAGGGAGAAGTTGATAATGCATGTAAAGTCACTTTGATCCATGCATTTCTTGAGTTTGTCTAATATGGGAAACTGAACATCCAATGTAACAAAGACTGTTTGCTCATATGAGAGTAAAGGGTACTGTAAATAAATGATACTGAACTATTAAGGACTGGTTATTTACAGGAAGGCTAACCTAAACCATGGTCTTCCACAATCAGTGGGCCTCAGGCTTTCTCTCTAAGAGGGTTGATTCCAATAAATAAGTCCTTCCACTGTTCATAAATATAAATGTTTAGGTAAAGGGTTCAGTTTAATTGAGGATTGTTTAGGACACAGTTTTGTTATACAATGGCTAAACTTTATTTTAAGGAATCAGACCGAATAGTTTATTGTCTGTTTGAGTGTTGAAGAAAACTTTCTTTTGTAGACTGTAAGTGAAGAGGGAGGATTTGAATATGTTACAAGGAAGAAAAAGTGGTCTGTTGTGGCAAGAAAGGTATGCTTACTGATTTGTTTTCCCTCTATGGACATGAGCCCAAGATGGTATGCCTTACAAGCTGTTTGTTCAAAGAATTCTACTGTAATTGTGGAGAGCATTTTTACGAAAGCCTACTAAGAAATATCAGTATTACAGTATTACTGAAAGAAAAAGGTGATTATTTGCAGGAAGGCTGTAATTTATTGGTGAGATAGGAAGTAAGATAGAGATGATGTCTTCTTTTCCATGAGCAACTCAGGCAGTTTTATTTAAATTTTATTGATAAGCTGTTGTTGATTGTTTCCACAGATGGGTTATCTCCTTGGAAAGTCAGCTCCATCTCTACTGAGGATGAATTATGAAAAGTACCTTTACCCATATGATATTTTTCAAGCAGGAGCATTCACTGGGGATCCTCAGCCAGGGGTCAGTTAAGTTTTTCATTTACTGGAGCAATACATCATCATCATCATCATCATTCCATTCTGTCCCCTGTGGAAATAGGGCCAAGGTCCCTTTGGCTTTAGGCTTCTCTGCCCTTTAACCCTTTCA